AGTGAGCTTCACTACATCACCCACAGTGTTTATACATCTGCGTGTGAGTAAGCTTTTCCAAAATATGGTGTTGTAATGGATTTAGCAACCCCTACTGGTAAAGATGCGTGTAGAATCCATCATCAATGACATTAAAGCAAAAGAGGTATTTGGTGCTGTAGTGTAAACTACTCTGGATTTCAGACATCAATCTTTTTTTCTTAAAAAGAAAATTGAAATCATGACTTTGATCTTGAAATTCTGAGAAGATGTTTCTGAGTTTATTTACTCTGAAATATTTAATGAAGGAGAACATTCATTCATAATTAATATTTAATTTCTATTAAAAATAAAGTCAGAGTACCATGATAGAAAATACAAATATATATTACTGTTTAATTTTAAATCTTTAAACTTAGAGAAAAATCCACATATATTTGAAATAAATCCACTAAAGGCCAAATTCTAATTCAAGTCAACGTCAATGTATATTTTCTGATTATAAAGGCAGAATTCTGACAATGAATTCTGAGTTCAAATACCAGTAGGTTGTGAAAATTATTCCTAAAAATGTAGAATTATTCCTTTATAAATTTCTGCATGTTTTTTTTTCCATCAAATCTAAAAGATCACATTCAACCAGTCTCAGATAAAAAACAAGTGTCCAGGAACAAGATGTAAAACCACTGACAGCTGCTATGTTCTTACTGATGGTTTTATTGTTTTATTATTGATATTATTACGTATTTACTGCAGCTTTATTAGTTCAAGTATCATTTTGACTCATCTTGAACTTTGACCTGACGTCTGTCCGTCAGGCCTTCTATCAGCCCGGCTGACCACAGAGGCAGCAGTGATAAGACTGGGATGTGACACTGGAACAGAATCTGATCCAAGTGACCTAACAATACAGTGATTTCCTTTCCAGGGAATATTCGGAACTCGTGACCAGTTCCCATTCCTGCCTTCATGCACTTCTAATTTAAAGTCAGTGGGAACCATGTTGGAAGTATATTTAGATTTTTAAGTGTAGCCTACTCACAGATCCTGTTATTGTAGCCGTGAAGTCACAAAGTATTGTTCCGTCTCTCAGACGTGTCCAAAATTCTACTTTTATTTGGGAATTTTAAAAAAACGTTAGAATTCTCTATTAGTGTCAGGAATGTGTTGTATGTAACCACCAATCACAACCGAGCATTGTTTAAGAAAAACAAACAAATACATTTGTTTTTCTAAATGTTTCCGTATTTCTGATAACAGCAAAAGTGTTTCTGAAACAAAAAACTCTTTTTGTTTCAGAAACAAAAATGTCATTAACTCATTGAGAAATAAATGGACTCAAGATAAATATTCATATAAATATTCATCCATATATTTAGAATTTTGTTCTTATTTTATATGTTCATCTATTTAGATATATTTATTAAATTAAAAAACTGGAGATAATTAAATTAATTTGAAATTAATTTCAAAAATTTTCTTTCTGTCTTTTTTGATTTAATTGTAATTTATTTATTTTTTTGAAACATTGTTTTGGTTTATTTTCTGGATATTTTCCTGGTTTTAAACATTTTTCCTGGATAATTGAATATTGTATGGGCTAATTTAAAGGTTAGTAATTTTTGCTCAAGTTGGAAATTTATTCAACACTGGTTGACATATATACAGATTCATGCAGCTTTGATAAAAACATTTCATTATCATCATCAGAAACATAGGACGATATTTGTCCAAAGCCATAAATTTAATTTGTTTTCGATTGTGTTCATAGAAACCCTAACCCTGAGTTGTTTTTTTTCGTCTTTTTACTGAAGTTTGAGAGCATACATTTTACTTTTAGGACGTTACAGTACATACCCATATATATGTTTTACTGACTTCAAATATCTATAAACCTGAGCAGCTCCGGCTGCAGGAGGACATGGCACCTCACTCAGAATAAACGTTAGCATGAATAAAGTTCCTCCCTGTCGCTCATGATTCCACTAAACCACCACAGCAAATACAAACAGATAAAGTGACCCAGATTAGCCAGCATACGTTGCCTTGAAATGTAACACTATTTGAAGGGTGTCCACTTTCAGAGGAACACAAACCACCTCAGTCCTCTGGCATGCAACAAGAGTCCTGTTGGAAACCTGCAGGGTGTAGAGTCCCCGAAGGCCTCTTTAAGAGAAACCAAAAGTGGCCCGTGGCTCGTGCCGAGGCTCCTGGGTATAAACCGGCCAGGACGCCGTCACTAACCAGACTTGGAAAACCGTAGAGTCATGTGGCGGAGTCACAGAGTGACACGGGGTCGCTGTAGATTCTCAGCAGTTGGAAGAACGTATGACACTTGGCTGTGTGACTTCATTAGGATGAGCCATTTCTTCCTGTGTGTAATTAGCCAGGGCTGTTTACTCAGGAAATTAAACTGGTCGCCATTTATAACAGAGCAGTACACTGTTTATAGTCAGGCACACACACAGACACACAGACACACAGATACACAACAGTATCAGGTGTGACATTAGACTGTCACAAGCTAAGCTGGCTAATTTAACTGTAAATGGAGCAACAATAAAAGCCAGTGTTTCTGGTCACGTTGTTTCTGGTGTGAATCTAAAGCACTGAGATACAGTACTCTGACCACAGTACCACAGTACCACAGTACCACAGTACCACAGTACCACAGTACTGTAACCACAACACACCAAGCCAACCTGGTGACTAACGTCTGTTCGTGTATTTACCCATCGTGTGGTTACAGAAACACCAGGAGCCATAGTTTAAACGTCACAAACCTTCGTGACTTGTGACCCACCTGAGGGTCGCGACCCAGCCTTTGGGAAAAAATACTGCAGATGATTAAATATGTTGCACACAAGTACAAGTACTACAATCCACCATACCATAATACTACTGAGACTAGACTCTAGTGTATTACACCTTCTTGTAATACACTCCACTGTACTACAATAAATGTATCATTCACTACATGAATACTTTTATTATCATGTACTTATATAAAAATACACAGTACCATACACTCCAGTACTACAAACAACACACCAATATATAACGACATTATACTGTTACTACTATGTCAACACACTTCTTTATTACTACACTATGCCAATGTGTGGCAATGTCAATGTTTGTTGAGGAAAACTACAGTATTATCACACTATAATATGTGATGCCAAACACTGTTCTAGTACTTCATTATACTGCAGGAACAACGGCCCAGTAAAATAAATATCTGCAGATCTGACCTGTAGTGAAACAAACACTCAAATAAACTACAGGTCAGTGAAGTTTTTCAACCATTATTAAAGTCTGGTTTTTCCACCTGTTTTTATGGGTTTGTTGTCCACTTGTCCAGGGATGACACTGCTCTACGGTCAGTGGTATTTGTTCACTACTAAAGACACTGTACTAAACCAGATACTTAAGTATACAGAAGTATCTGTGGCCTGTATTTCCCAGTATTTGACATGACATCCTGTACAAGTGTTTTTCTCCATATGTGACTCACTTATTTACTCATCCGAGATTTTTTTTTTTAACTTTTACGGTTTTTTGTTTGTTTTCTAGATAACCATTAGCTACTGAGCTACTGTCTAGTGCACATACTGTGTACCATGACTGCGTTAGTACACGGTGGAAACTACTGGTTTCTAGGACAAACAAGGTACAGTGGCCAAAGGCTAAACGGCCACTGAAGGTGTGTGTGTGTGTGTGTGTGTGTGTGACACTCCTCCCAGCAGCAGTCCACAACACAATGTCTGCTGGGAAATTTTAACTGATCCCCATCAACACACACATGGACCATGAGGCTGACCGACCATCTTCATCATCGTTTGTCATTGACATGGGAGTGGGAGGAGGGGAGTCTTCTTCACAGATGTGGTGACAACAGGCCTCAGAACTGCACTCAGTATTTCTACCAAGGCCACAGTGTTTTTCTGGGATGTTTACTGTAGTAACATGTATAAAAACAACACAGAGAGACAGACGGAAGGACACAGGAGTCTTACCGAGCAGCAGCAGTCGATGCGTCTGTTTGTACTCCCGTTTCTGCTCCTTCAGCTCCCTGTCAATGGTCTTACTCACTTTCTTCGCCTCCTTCTCGGCCTCCTTCTCCTCCACCAGCAATTTGTCCCAGTTTTTCTGCTTTTGGGTGCTGGTCTTTTGCAGTAGCTGCAAACGTCGGCTGCGGTCTTTCCCTGTCCCTTTGCCGCTGCCTCCTCCACCGCCGCCGCCGCCACCTCCTACTCCTCCTCCGCCGCCACCACCTCCACCACCACCGCCTCCGTTTTGTATCAAAACACCATCGGTACCGGTGTCTCCACGGCGGTGCTCCCCGGCCGGGAGCCTGCCAGAGTCCCCGGGGCGCAGCGGGCCGCCGCCGGCGCGTAGCGACGAAGTCTCCCCGCATCCCCCGGTGTCCTCCGGCCGAGCTCCCCCGGCGCGCGTCGGCACGGCGTCCGGAGGCTGGTCCGAGTCCGAGGTAGCGTTGGAGATAGAGCCGCTCAGGTCCCCGAAGAGCCGGGGACGCAAACTGTAGCACAGCCCCATGTTGAAAGCAATATATCCCAGTGGATGTGGTTTTTCATAAATTAAAATGTCACCAAAAAACAATCGCCGTCGCGCCGCCACCAGCCCTAACGAGCCATCGTCACACTGGAGCTCCAGCGGGGCGATTTAGGTCCGAATTTGAGGCCAAAATGGAAATGAATTAGGCTCCGACATTTACTATATGTCATTTTGCATTTTCCCCCGGCCAGCCTTCGCTCCGTAGTTAGTGGATCACCTGATCCTTCAGTGGACACTGCGGGTCCACCTTACCGTAAGTAACCAAAAGCACAACCTTGGAGGAAAAAGGCGGTTCTCCGCTGCGCACTGTGCGCAGACACTCCACAATCTGACTGCACAGCTGTTAGATGCAATGCACGGCAGCACGTCATCTTACTACAGTATGGCCATTTGGAGAATGCTGCTCAGGATTCTCATTCCTCACATTTCATCTCATGCCTGCGTGTTTCAAGGCTCTGCACTCCGTGTCAACCTCGGTGTGACCCTCGGAGTGGATCTGGAAACACATGGCTGTAGGCGAGGCAAAGTTTGGGGTTTTCTTTCCTTCTCCTTTTCAATAGAAGCTCAAACACTTAAATTATTTAAAAAAATATTTATGTCCCTGTATGTGATCTACACACAGGCCCAATATTCATGTTTAAATCAGTAGCACCGACAGAAATACCACCTTATCTAATGAGTAATTCCTACTGGACAGCTTGTACCAACTGGAATGAGTCCAACAAAGACGGCTCCTCATCAAATCACCTCTCCTCACAGGTTCGTACACAGACTGAAGCACAAACACAACAACGACAACAGAGAAACATTAATTCTCCTCTATTTTATGCCAGAAATCAACAAAAAAAAGTCGAAAGAAAAAGTTGCCTTAAAAGATGCAGTGAAGCCACTTAGCCGCTTGAGGGCGCCCTTAAAACCGGTAACAATATAATAATTCACGAGGTTAAAAAAAGTTACAAATGTGAAATTCGACTTTGATTGGAACAATACATCTGTGATTTTATATTCACCTAATATAACTAATAGTTTTCTTATAAAATTTTATATTCACCAAATATAACTAATAGTTTTCTTATAAAATATTTGAAGTAGTACTACAGTTTACAGTGGAGGTATTAGACACAGTGGCACAGGCAGGCCTAACACTGCCCCAGTTAACGTCCACATCTATATTAGTTGCCCCACAGAGGTGTAGCTTCAGCGTTGACTGAAGGCTGATGTTGGGCTGTGTGGGAAACTCAGATGTTCTCAGTGGAGGAAACGTCGTCTCTGTGGACCATAAACAGATACATCACACTGAAGTGGTACTGTAGTGTGCTCCAGGGACAGAGCGATGACACCGTGGAGCTGGGGGGACCATTAGGAGGAGAGCAGAGTTTAATGGAGACACTGGGGATCACAGTGATGTTGTTGAAGTTCGTCTGCTGCAGCGCTCGTCAGTCAAAAATTAACATAGCTTCTATAAAAACAAGGCTGAATTTAGAAAAAAAAATCAGAATAAGTAAAAAAAGCCAGATCTCATAGAAGATGCCAATGTAAGTTATTTGTTGGTTTTCTTTAGAACAAATATAATTGATGTCGTTCTTTCCCTGCTAAAACCATTGATTGTCACAGTAGTGTGATGCAGATACTTTTATATGGGAGGTGTTTTACATAATAAAATATATATTTAAGTATCAAGACAGGTGTGGTCTGTTCATCCTCCCAATTATGATCTTCAGCACCATGAGTCCACTGAAAAGAGATGAAAACAACTAAATAAGAACAAGGTCTCAGGTCATAATTTTATTTAATATGTTCAATGTACTGTAAGTCACTGCTCGTAGTCCATTAACAGTCTGAAACTGAATGAAATCAGTATCATTTTTACCTGACTAAAGTCATTAAACCAGCTGGCATGAACTTCCAAGAGTTGACGAACCTCAGTCCCATCACCACCGTCAGTGTTCCTGAGGTGCCTGCGTGTGATTGGTGGAGGAGGACAGGATGGTTCACTTGTGACGTGTGTTCGTGAATTTAACAAAGTCATTAAAGATTAAAAACAACCTCACTCACCAAGTGACAGCCAGATATTCTTTGGATTGTGAGTGGACAGATGAGCACCGACGGCAGCCAACAGGCCAAAGAGGAGACCAGCAGCCAGAGAGGAAGTGCTGCCTGAGGAGGAAGTTCAAGGACACACTGGAAGATTAGGTTTTAGTTGGAAATGTGAGCTTCTCTGCAATATTAAGTATATTTTTGTACATTTAGACATTGGAAACTGGTCTTAATTTAATTTAAATGTACAAATACATTTAGGTCATCATGAAGAAATACTTTTCTTATTGTCTGTGTGTTTAAAGAAACATTTAAGAATTTATTACTGGACATGATGAATAATAATCAACTAAAACTAATTCAAAATTCTCAACGTGGCCCTAATTCACGTCGCCATCTTGTTGTATTATTGTTTCCTTCTCACCTGCTTTGTAATAACCAGCGATTCCTCCTGCTGTCACCAGAACAGCGTAACCGAAACCGAGCCAGTCCACAGCCATGATCAACAGAACCGAGCTGGAGTCACTTTAACAGCTGTTCGGCAGAAAACACACAGATTCCGTCGTTTTTAACCCCTAAAAATGTGTCTTCCAGTGAGTTGTACAATTCACTTTTTACTGGTTGTTTTACTACGTTCAAAAACAGAGTCGAAATGTTTACACTTCCGGAGTCAAGGTAGAATTTTCTTTTTCCCTCGATTTAAAATGTTGTCAAGTGAGGCTTTAAACGCACTGCGGCCACCTGCTGGCGTAAAGTGAAATAGCTCCCACAATAAGGAAACGTATGTATATATAGTAATATACATACGTGTTTGTAAAAGTAAATATATATACATATATAAAGTAAAAATAAAAGAAACTTGCAAACATTTAACCTGCCCTAATTTTTAGCAAATATTTAAAGTAGACAGTTGGAATTACAAACGTATAAAATTAACACTTTATTTCAGATTTGACCAGAAATTTCTCAAACTGCACTTCAGACAAGTAAAAATAAACAGCAGGCATTCTACCTAGGATAAAAATAAAGCATTTTTATTTCTCAATTATGACACACCGTCTTTTCTGTAATGACAACAATATAATGTACTGAACGTTATAAAGTGTTTTTAAAAATAAAAGTTTGTCAAATTGTGATATGTCTCCGCCTAGTGGCTAACACTTGAAAACGGCATATTTGACCCAAAAAGGTCAGATAAAACAGATAACGAGAGGGAAAGATATTAAAATACTTTTATTGGTGTTTATTTTTTTCCACCTTTCTTCTTCTTCTTCTTCTTGGGTTTGCTCTCATCTTCTAGAATGACTTCTTCCATTGCAATCCGAACTCTCTTGGGCTTCAAAAGTTCCTTTGCGAGTTCTAAGGAGAGGAGTAACAGTGTCAAAATAAAATTAAATGTAATACAGAAGGTGTCTGAAGACAACTGAACAAATGGGAAGTGAATTACCGGTGGCTAACGTCTCACTGAGCCACTAGATTCAACTAGGAATTTTGCATCTTTCTCTTCTTTGGCACATGAATAAATACAATATAAAATAATAATTAAATTTTTCACCTTGCGACGTCGTGGCCTCGGCTTCTGGCTCCTCGGCCACCTGCTGCACTGATGTAGGTTTCCAAACTGCCAGACACGTCAGTCTGGCTGTCGTGTTCACTTCCCCCAGGAGGGTTGGAGGTTCGAGATCCTGGTTACACACAAGTGTAATTTATGTGTCAAATGTCGGTGTTTAAGACTGTTTGACCTTAGTTATACTGCACATCACAGTACCAGACACTCTGGCTGCCCTCGACAGGGACATACCTCTTTAAGATGGACTTTCCACATTTTGATGAATCCGTCATTTGAAGCCGTCACCAGCACGCAGTAATCCTCCATGTTGAAACTGTCAATGGCCTTAACTCTGGTGTCACGGAAAAGAAGTTTTATTTGTAAATATTTTTTTACACATCACTTCTCCCTGAAAACTACTGGAAATGTAGAAAAGGAAGCTGAGAGTCATCACCTGGTTTCATGAGCCTTGAACTCACACACCCACTTCTCTTTCTCCATGTCGTAAAACCTCACAGTGTCATCGTCTCCTGCCACGGCCAGGAGGGAGTTCTGGGAAAAAAACAACAAAACAAATGTACAGTGAAGTGACTGTGATTCTATTATGCTGTCGTGCTAAGTATTAGATGGAGCGCTAACATTTAAGAACTTAATGGATGAGATTCTTTTGGGGTTTGTGAGAGTTCCTGTCACAGACGCCGTCTTCAGGTCGTAAATGTCCACTTTGTCGTCGACCACCACCACGTATTTATCACCATCAGGGGACCATCGAACGATGAGAGCGTCTGAGGAGAGAGTGCAGAGACAGAACACCTTCAGTTGAACTCATTCTGATGTGAAACCAGCAGGGGGCTTCAAAGGACAAGGACACTCACTCTGTTTAATGTTTTTGATGAATGCCGACCTTCCGTTGATTAGATTCCACGTTCTGAACAGAATCAAACAAACAGGTGTCACCTCTGATGCTGTGTCTGAAGACTGATGTGCCACAACTTTGAATTTACCTCAGAGTTTTATCCGTTCCTACTGAAAGAGCAAGTTTTCCAGACGGGTGGACGGACAGCGACGTGACATGACCTCTGAGGAAGAGTGGGAAAAAAAACATAACTTTACAACAGTCATAAAAAACACGACGTTGTTTTATTTCTATCTGCTCGGTGCCTACTGGTGAGCTTTGATGGACTTCAGACACTCCCACTTCTTGGTGCTCCACACACACAGGAGTCCATCTTCTCCTCCACTCAGCAGGTGAGATGATCCATAAAACTCAAGGCAGGAGATGGTGCCTGTGCATTAAGAAGGAAATTAGAACGATACATACGCCTTTATCATCCTCACACATTCATGTTTGGTTGTTGTTGTTGAAAAAGTAGAAGCAAACACTGTTGTCTTCTGTGGTTTTGTGAACAGTCGGACGGTAGCAGAGATACTCACCATCATGATGCAGCAGGGAGCCGTGCTCTGTCCTCTTCTTCATGTCATACAGCTGAATGGTTTCATCTTTACTTCCTGTGACAACGAACCTCTCACTGGTTGCAACAGCTGATATGGAGGCAGTATGGGCGTGATGTGTGAAGTTTGCTTTTGATGTCCACTCCTGCAACAGACAGACGAGAGGCCACAAAATAAAGAATAAACAATAATCAAATTAGGGAAAATGCTCAACTTGCTTAAAACATTGGTTACATTCCTTTTTTACACCACGACACGACATGACATGAAATACACAAACATTTTTAAAAATCACAGGCACGAACTCAACTCTGACTTACTTTTTCATCAGTTTTCACTCTGTAACCAAAGACTATCTGCTCGTAGCTCCCAGCGATCAGCTCCAGTACAGCTGCCATGCTGCTAATGTTAGCTTAGCCAGGTAACTTCCTTCAAACTTGTCCTTTTTCTAGGTACGTGTTGTCGTGTTGGTGAAATGACAGTTAGCGAAGAAAATCGCCTAATGTCTATGGGGGTAAAACAAACAAAACTAGTTATATAGACTGGCTATAACGCTACTATATTAGAATATAAACACATGCTTCTATTCCGTTTTCAAAACAACGTGTAGAGCCACTGGGCCTGCGCAAAACCCCACCATGCTTCATCCGGTAGTTTGGTTTTCACAATAAGAGCATGGGATGAACAATTCTTGTTCATCAAGAACGTCCAAAACCCTTGTGATGTTTTTCTTTTAAATAAAAAAAATTAACACACAGACTAATTACATGTAAATGGTTAGAAAAAATCAGCTTTTTTACGAGTACAGACCGACTGTTTTGATGTGATGTAAGGGGTGTAGTTGGAACCCTGTGATTGGTTAATATATACTGGGACGTCAAGGACGCTTCAAATAACAGTTCCCTGGAAGCAGAAATCTTGGTGGAGGATAAGAAGAGGGAAGTTACATGAACATTTACAACTCAGCGAAATCATGGCAAGGAGGTAAGATCTGGATGCAAAATACACAAAATAAAGCAAAGTCGTTCATCTGTACTCTATTTATTTATTTATTTATTTGACATTTTATTTGATTGCTGGACGACACTTCCAGAACTTTTAAAACCTGTTTCTAAGCGCAACGTCTTCTTTGGGGAGATATATTATTGTCATGTAAACAGTGGCTTCACTGTAACCCGAGACTCATGTTGATCCGTGTTATTGTGAATAAACTGGAGGGGAATTGTTTGTGGTTACAGTCATTAGTGCACTGGTCCAGACACTGCTGCAGAACTACGTCTGGAAATTTCCTGTCAACTGTGTCTTACTCATGCGCCTGTCGTCTGATATTTTTTATTTTCAAAAAGGGTGGGGCTGTTAGTTTGTGTTAGATACACAGACAGTGTGTATCCACGGATGGCAACGGTCCACAGTGGACACATTTTATGGGCCACATATGGTTCCCTTTTCTTATTTCTCAGATGTGAGCTGTGTGCATCAGGTACAAGAGTAACCTGAAGACAAACTGGTGTTATTTCCAACAAGAGGGAATTTGACACGTTGACCAACTTTCTTCCCTTTTTCTTTCTTCCTGTTTTCATCTTAGCAACAAATCAACACCTTCTCAAAGTCTACCAGCAAGTAAGACATTGACAGTTGACGTTATTTCAGTTTTGGGCTGCAGGAGACATTTGTTTTGATCATAACCAAGCTCTAGTTAACTACCGACCATGAATGACAAGGTCACATGACACAAACACATAAAAGGCTCCTACAATGACATCGCCTCAGGTTTGAATTATCAAATCAGTAGTTGTTGAAAAGCTGATGACGGGAGTTGAACCCACTTCATATTTTTCTCCAGTTCTTTTTGTTAAACTTGTCAAATATTCAATAAAATGTCAAGGTGAGAGACGTGAACAGACAGCTCCACCATCATAACACCTGCAACATGTTTCCGCTGGGTTTTAACAGAGGGCAAAACAAATCACATTTCCCCCATTACTTTTTTTAAAAAAGTTTTTGTTTGTGATTTTTTTTAATTTCCCAGACAAGAAGTTGACTCAGATCTCAGTGAGATTGTGAGAAATCTCTGGGCTTTGGACCGCAACCGCCTCAGACCAGGGTCTGATTACATCATCTCACCCCAGGTCAGTAGACAAGTCCGTTATCATCACTTCTATATGTGCCATATATTGCATTTTAAATAGATATTTGGAGGGTGCCTTTTCATTCAAACTGATGGGACTGTGTCAGATCGTTTGGAAACATTTTTTGGTGATTTCTGCAGAAACAGGAAAAGATCGGCAGAAAAACTTGAGTGTGAGTGTGGTATTTAAAACATTGTAAAAAAGCTAAATGTCTGTTGCTTCTTGAAGGCATTGGAGGGGCTTGAAACAGCTAATTTGCAAAGATATCAAGTAAGTAATAGACTCTTCCCCAAAATTATGCATGTGATGAAAGCCCCAGATTCCACCGCGCATCCAAGCTGTGTTGCTGCTGCATTCAGGGACCACAGAGCCATCCTCCTTGACCCGAAGGATGGCAGATGTTGACAACAACTCAGAATCAGCTTGTCAGAGCCGCCTGCATGGCTTCACACTGAGGAAATCTCTGTGTTTTGGTTGTGCCAGATTAGGCTGACTCCTCTCTGTGTGCTTCTGCTCTGATTTAAACAGGGCAGAGCCGGCTACGTGGCTCAGGGGAGCAACTACGCCACGGACAGAGCCCAGGCTCCGCTCTTCACCTACGTCGATGAGGCCAAACTCAGGAGCATCGAAACATACGCTCGTAAGTTCCTGTTGCTACTGATGATTAAAACTGCTTTCAACTGAGGCTGTGAAGGTTTAATAATATGATTAATCAAAGCATGGCTGTGGATTTACCTCGATTAATCATTGAGATCAATCAATATTACTGTATGTTCCGGACTATAAGCTCCGGGTATTAAGTCACATCAGTGCCCTCTAGCGGCTGTTAGTGTGAAAGTAACGAACAAGTAAAATTATATATTTTAATATATAAGTTGCAAACCCAGCCAAAGGATGAAAAAAGGTGGCACTTATAGTCTGGGAAATATGGTACTAAATAAAAAAAACACTTTTCCTTAATGTTGCTGGATCAGAAATACAAATAGCAGCAGGTAGATATGTGTGTGTTTTGACTGTGTATAAGGAAGCCCTGGATTGATGGTGGAATCGTTGAACATTCAGTGTGTTTTTAAAACTGTTTTCATCTGAGTAACTGTGGACATGAATGTGATTGAACCTAGTTTCAGCTCATTAAACTTTTATACTGAGAACATTCATATTTGTTTTTTTACGTGCAGACTTCATCAACTTGCTGGACAACTACGAGACGTCCACCGGCGTGTCAGAGACGGTCACTTCAGAGGAGCTTCAGGAGAACAGACTGTTTCTCGACGCAATAATGGAGACGGATGTCATGATGGTACTGTACTTTAAGTGAAGGACAAATGGGAAATTTTATTCAGTCAAAGATTAATGACTGAATGTTGTTCATGTAATATTTTCATTGTTTTGTTTCTGTCCAGTCTGCTCACCAGTATCTGATAGAGAAGGGCAAGTCACCGATGGATCCTGCACAGTTCAAAAATCAGCTGTTTGACATCTGGTTCCGCCTTTACCACCGGGACAGAAGTGGAGGGTGAGTTCTCCTGCAGGGACCGAGGATTAACTGACGTGAAATCTCTGCAGATGAATCAGCCAGAATGAACATGGATTAATAATAATAATAATAACAATAATGTTAATACTATTTGCACAGTGAATGTAATCATACACTTATTCCATTATAGTGAAGATTCTTGTGGATTTGAGCATGTGTTTGTTGGAGAAACTAAGAATGGTAAGAAGATAATGGGTCTGCACAACTGGGTCCAGTTCTACCTGCAGGAGAAACACGGCCATGTTGACTATAAAGGCTTTAAAGCAAGAAACAACAAGAAGACAGTAGGAGTCTATACTCAAC